GGTTACTTTGGCTTTGGGGCAAATCCGGCCGTGGACGAGCTCGAAGAGGGAAAGAATCCTATTCGTGCCTTGCCCGCCAGCTGGTACACCTCGCAAGACCTCTACGAACTGGAAAGACGAGCCATCTTCTCCAAGAAGTGGCTCCTCACCACGCACAAGTCCAGGCTTGCCGAGCAGGGCGACTGGCTACGATATGACGTGGCCGGCTTCCAGTTCATCATCACCCGGGACCGACAGGACAACATCAACGCCTTCCACAATGTCTGCAGGCACCGAGCATTCCCGATTGTGACCAAGGAGACTGGCCACAACAGCGTGCTGGCATGCAAGTATCACGGGTGGTCGTATGGGCTGAACGGCAAGCTGGCCAAGGCACCCGGGTACCAAGACATGGAGGATTTTGACAAGTCGAAAAACGGCCTGTTCCCTCTGCATGTCCACGTCGACAAGAACGGGTTTGTCTGGGTCAACATGGATGCGAATGAGGTGCCCGAGGTGGCGTGGGAGCACGACTTTGAAGGGGTTGACGAGCAGGCGCGGTTCAAAAACTACAACTTTGACGACTACGTGTTTGACCACACGTGGGAGATGGAGGGCGACTACAACTGGAAGATCCTGGCGGACAACTACAACGAGTGCTATCACTGCAAGACGACGCACCCCGACATTCCCACCATTGCAGACCTCAACTCGTACTACGTCGAGACAAAGGGCGGCCACATCCAGCACTTTGGAAACCCGAAACCGGAGCAAATTGCGCGCGGGCTCAACGTTGCCAGCACCTACTTCTTCCCCAACGCGTCCATGAACGTCTCGTAAGTGTTTCTGTGTGACCAGGCAAGGAAATGAGGCTGCCTGGGGGGTTTTTTTTTTGATTTCATGCTGACGTGCCCGCTTGCAGGCCACACTTCTTCTTCATGCAGAGGTTCGTGCCGCTCAGCCCCGGAAAGGCGGTGATGAAGTACGAAGTGTACAGGAACAAGAACTCGGGCGACGAGGACTTCAAGCTCATTGACGACATGTACAAGCGCATCATGTCCGAGGACAAGGTCCTCTGCGCCAATGCCCAGAGGAACATCAACACGGGTGTCTTTATCAACGGCGAGATGCACCCCAAGATGGAAAAGGGCCCGCTGTACTTCCAGAAGCTGGTGCGGCAGGCGCTGACGGAGCACCATCAGCTCGAGGCCGACGTGGGCGAGGAGATATGGCCGGCGCGCCAGACGTTGCCCAAGAGCGCGGTGGCGACGGAGAAGGACATGAGCTTCTGCTCGGCGGTGGACTGCTGCAAGAACAACCGGGTTGCTGTAGAGGTGTAGAGGGAGACTTTTTTCTGGCGCGTTACATTGAGACTTGTGCTTTTGTTGTTGCTACATCCATAGTAGAGCTAATGAGGAAATGACTGTATCTTGCGGCCTTGATCCGCTTGCACACCCTGCAGCCAGGCCAATTTTGGTGAAACAATGTAATTGTCTCTTGAGATTTGCAAAGTATACAGTTTGCCATGTTGGCAGAGTCGAGTCGCACATGGGTTCAATGTTCGGGTTGGGCCAAATTGCCACCGCATCTGTATCCGGATTCCGGACCGCCGACTTGACGCCTTGTTTGCGCGCCGGCATTGAATTGACACACATGGCAGCTCTCGAGTCAAGCTGACCCCTCCACGCTCTAGAGGCCTAGTCAATGCGTCACCATGACCTGGACTGTTACCTAATAAGATGCCAGACGTATGTCGACACATGGTCTGGTGGGTGTTGCCAGCCCGGGCTCTTGGCTCCTCGGCCGCCAAAACCATGTCTCCAGAGTCAACTCGGTCTCGACAGCCATTGACACAACTACCTAGTATTGACGCATCAATCAACAGGAACGAAGCTGACGAGCAGAGCACACCCCCCCACCCTTCCGTGGTTCGCATCTGCACGGTTTGCGGTGCCGTGTCATGTCTCTGGGCTCCCGACCAGACAATACCAGACGGGACACATCAACCATCAGGCCCCAGGCCAGGCCTCCCCGGAGCAAGCGGCACAGGCAAAGTAGTTTCAAATCGTGCAGGAGACAAGTGGCGTCTGGTCTCCTGTATCGGCCCAACGTTCTGGGCTGCTATCATGATCCCCCGCACTCTTGACCTGACTGAGACACGCCAGCTCCGTCCACAATCACAGTGCGGTCCACCCATAAAAGACCGTGGCGATAAGCCACCCTCCGTATCCGTATCTGGGGTTATTGGCAATTTGGCACCAAGACTTGTGCCGGCCTGCTCTCGGCCTGCTTGCTGCTGTATCTTGTCAACTCACTTTGCCGGTGTCGTGGTTGGCGAGCATCATGACACCGCCCGACGAGACGTTTGGAACCGCAGCGCGTGGGAGACGACGATCGCATCATGCCTGCCTCACCTGCCGGTCTGTCGCGCCCGTCTTGATGCCTCCACGGCCCTCCATGTCCCGCTGACCTTTTCGACGACGCAGGAGAAAAAAGGTTCGCTGTCCCGCCGAGAAGCCCGCCTGTTCCAGCTGCGTCCGCCTCAAGCAGACGTGTTCCTATCCGCCCGCAGCCAAGGCGGCTCGAAGCGGGCGATCGGTATGTCCTGTCCTCCTCGCAAAGGCCGTTGCGCAGCTCTGACGAGACCACAAACCGGCAGGAGGAGAGATTGGCGCACCTTGAAGAGAAATTGGATCTCCTCTTAACTGGGAGGTTGTACAGACAACGTCCACATCACCCCCAGCGTTCAGACCTTCTGACCAGGTTCCCAAAGGCCCAGCCAGTCTTCGAGCCAAGAGCAACCGCCCGACGACGTCTCCAGCTTCTCTGAAAAGTCCCTCTCCGCGACGCCCCCGGCGCGAGAGAACCAACACGCCTATGCCTTTGGCGGCCTCTCGTTGTCGACGCCCTTCGAAGCGGAACTCTCCAAGCTGCGACCGAGCCCGTCCGACATTGCCCTCGGCATCCGCCTCTACTTTGAGTTTTGCCATCGGCAGCCCATTTGGTGCTTCGAGCGAGATGAGGTTAGCGACATCGGCTCCCTTACTGACGAGCTTGCTTGCAGCATCCTGGCTGTCACGTCGCGCTTCTCGCGGAGACGAGACGAGCTGCAGGTCTACGGTGACAACGCCAGGAGCATGATCATGGCCCGCGTGGCCAACGGCTCCGTCGGTCTTGCCACCATAGAGAGCCTGTGCATCCTGTGTTATTCGTCATTTATAGGTATAATCAGCACCCCCCAGCCCCCCTCTCCCAACTGCGAGCTCTCGCGTGTGGCTAATCGCAAGTCGTGCAGACGGAAACGTGCATCTCGGCCAGTTTCACCTCGGCCTGGCCCTGCAACTGTGCCGATCGGCCATGCTGGACCTGGACGCGGGATACGCCATGGACGACCTCACGTCGGAGCGCAAGAAGAGAGTCTTTTGGAGTCTGCAGGTTCTGGACCAGTACCACGGCCGCCAGACGGGAATCCTCAGCGCGCCGACGGAGATATGGCGCCAGTCGCACGGCTCGGGCGGCGTCGAGCATCGCCATCACATGGAGCTGGACGCCAAAGTGCCCCCCCTGCCGCTCGACGATCTCGGCCACACGGTCCCGAGCGAGCCTGGCATCTGGAATACAAGCGTCCATCTCGGCTGGGTCTGGAGCCGCGTGCGGAAGTATGTGTCGGACTGCGCGCACGGCATCTTCCGCGAGCCCTGGAGGCGCGACTCCATGTATGCCACGGTCCTGTCCGACTTTATGGAGGCCGAGAACAGGATCCCCATGTGCCACAGGTACGACTCTGTCAAGTTTTACGAACGCAAGATGGAGGACATCAAGATGAACCGCGACTACTGGGCGACGTGGCTGAAGGAGCAGTTTACGTACCACGCCATCCCGACCGTCCTCAACCACCCGTTCCTCTACATCGTGGGCGCGCAGCACAACGCAAACCTGGCGATTCCCAACACCTTTTGGCGGAGGTCGTCGGAGCTGGCCCTCATACACTCGACGTGGATCGTGCGCATGATTGACATGGTGCTGGACAAGCAGGTGCCCCTGACGGATCCCTTCTTCGGCCACATTGCCGCCATCGCCGCCACCGTGCATCTGTACTATTGCTGCGCGGCGGCGGCCAAGCTGAAGCACAAGTCCAACGCCGACTTTGCCAAGTGCAGGCGCTTCCTCAAGGGCTTCATCCCCTTTTCGCCGGCGTGCCGGGCACTGGTGCGTATTTCCCCCGCGTCGCTGACAGCAACTTACACACGGCATCCCGCGGCTAACATGTGTGCTCTACAGGACCAAAACCTGGACAAGATGACCCGGATCGCCGCCGGCTCCGAGACAAACGACGTCGAGGACTGGATGCCGTCCCGAATCTACCTCAGCGTGCCGCTCATGTGGAACATTCTGCAGTTCAACTGCACGGCCGACTCGAGGGAGTTTCCGCACACGGGCCTGCTGGACGCGTCGCTGGCCCTGACCGTCGCCCGCGAAGACGACGACGAGGCCACGACGCTCGACATCATCGTGGCCACGTCGCCCGAGATTACCGTCAACACGGCCGACGGCGGCCAGGACGCGCCGACTCTGCCGTTCAAGGGCACCGTCAACTCGTCGCCCAGCTCATCGGCCGAGACGGCCTTTAACGAGATTTCGGCCGAGCAGGCCGACAGTCTTACGTTCAACACGACGCCGTGGCTGTATGCCGACCCGTCGCAGTTTGATTCCATGACGGACCTTGTCTATCATGATGCGCGGCCGAGCATAGGCGGCAGCAGGGGCATGGCGTGGTGGGAGGGGGGGGATATGGACGACAGTATTTTCAGTCACATTTAGCGTTGATGTATTTCACAGCGTGCGAACGGTTGCACATTTTTTTTTTTTTTTCATTTTTTTTTTCACCTGGATGCGAGGGTTCTTGGTGTACAGAGTCTCTTATACCTCATGGCGTTTCGAAGCAAAATGAACAAGGTGCTTTCATGCTACACCAACGTGTATAAAACTAGGTGTGTGATGATGATGATGTCTGACGAGCAATGACTACTTTTTTCCACATTCCCCGTCTTCTCGGAGTTTCGTCCGCCTACGCCGACCTGGCCCGCGGATGCTTCAGCGTGGAAGCCTCGCGTACTTCTATCAAATATCAAACCCCAGCCGCAGTTGCGGAGACGGCACAGTGCCAGGCTGCCCGCGCGACGGCCCCTTTGGCCAATGAATGCCCAGCGATTGCAGCTTCGACTAGCGTCGATCTTGGTCCCTTTATCGGCATCCGCTGGCTCTGGGGAAGACGGGGGCGTGGAGGCCAGGATGCTTCAGATTGGATTGCGGAGGAGTCAGGAGCCGGGACCAGACAGACCCCGGCACGCCCAGCCCCGGCTTACAAGCGCACCAGACGAGACGGCGAACTACAGTTTGTCAGGTCCAGCACGCGGCGCGCCGGCGTCGGAGCCTGCATGATGCAGGCGTCAAAGGGGACATCTGTGGGCTCCCAGAAACGGCAACCATCCGACATGCTTTGCAGCCGGCGTCGACCGGGCCACCAACCTGGCCTCTTGTGCCACCAGCGTCGACCATTTAGTAACTATTTACCATCCATCGCATGTCGCCTCAGTGGTTACTTGTTCCTGCGCGTGTTGCTGGACCTGCCGCGAGCCTCTCTGCCTCCCCCACCTGGAGCACGTCGTATCAGGCTGGAGCTTTATACATACCAGCACGACGTATGTATGGTCCCCGTGGCCCCTTTCCTGCCCAACTTGCCAACCTGCCTGCGTACAGTATGTACATACACATGCGTCAAGTAACTAAGCACGGGCTTCATCGATTCGATGCCTCGTGTCGGGGGACAAGACGAGTCAAGTCTGCTGCCATTGTCCCCGTGGCTCTCCCATCACAATTCACTCTGGGTAAGGGTTGGCGCCCGTCGCACGAAGCCACATGACCACGTTCAATTCAGCCCATTTACAGCCAGCCCAGTTCTAGAACTTGATGGGCCACCCTCAAGCATCAACGCCTCACCTGCGGTCAGACCCGAATAACTTGCTGCTGCTGCTGCTGCTCGAACCGCGTGCGCGGCTGGAGAACACGAATCCACGATAACACGGGGGAAGACGCGCCTGTCCTGTATCTTTTCGCTATTCAGAGATAAAGGAGGGTGTGCAAGATAAAAAGAGCCAAGGATTGGGGGGGGGCCTGGCAGAGTGGCCTGTTTGATAACGTGTAACGTGCCGTCCAATCACATTGCTTTGCGATAAAGTGAAGATGAGACGGACTTCGAGTCACGACCAACGAGAAAGAGAGGCTTGTGGTTTACAAAAAAAAAAAAAAAAAAAACCCGACACATGTTTCTCTTCATGTTATTGGTACGAATATAAATGAACTGGCGTGTATAACCTTGATTTGGAATTCCGGAACCTGTTTGGCAGACCACTGACCAGGGCTGTTACACTTGCCACTTTATTGTAGAAACACCAGAGTATCATGCATCTATGCAGGCCCAATGCACTACCAAGCGAATGAGGTGTGTCTACTACTCTATCTCGGCTTGGCGTCGAGAATAGCTTACTCCGTACAGTTGCGAGGCAACGCGACACGGAGCAGTGCCCGGCATCCAGGTTCGGAGGCCGATCACGTGATCGCCACTTACACCACGGCGGTGCTCATATTCCGACGGCCAAAACTATCTACAGCTGTGTATATGTAGTACATTATTTGTATAATTTACAATATAGACCGTGAGTAAATTATTAAATACAATCTAGTTGACTTAAATTGCGTCTGTCTGCCTCTATTGTCCCCCCCCCCCAGTCCGATACAGGGAGCGCAGGCCACGTCTCGCAATCTTTTGAGGATTTACTTCGTGACAAGTTTGTTGAATCATCGCTGGCAGCGCAACCATGGCAGTCACTGCAAGTCAGCCGCGCGTCGTCATCATCGGCGCCGGCATCGTCGGCGTCAATCTGGCCGACGAGCTGGTCTCGCGGGGCTGGAGCGACATTACCGTCGTTGACCAGGGCCCGCTGGACATGCCCGGCGGCTCGACCTCGCACGCCCCGGGCTTGGTGTTTCAGACCAACGCGTCCAAGACGATGACCCTGCTGGCCAAGTATACCGTGGAGAAGTTTCTCTCGCTACAGGAGGACGGCCAGTCGTGCTTCAACCAAGTTGGCGGCCTGGAGTTGGCCACCACGCCCGAACGGCTCGAGGAGCTGAAGCGGAAGCACGGCTACGCCTCGTCCTGGGGCGTCGAAGCGCGCCTCATCACGCCTGAAGAATGTCTGGAGCGGTACCCTCTGCTCAACAAGGACATGGTCCTCGGCGGCCTTTACATCCCCAGCGATGGACTGGCCCTGGCTGCGCGCGCGGTGCAGCTTCTCATTGCGAAGACGCGCGAGCAGGGCGTCAAGTACATTGGTTCCAGCCTGGTCACTGGCGTTGAGCAAACAGACGGCCGTGTGTCTGCGGTGGTGACAAGGGACCAGACGATTCCCGCAGATGTAGTCGTCTCGTGCGCGGGATTTTGGGGCGTCGAGGTCGGCGCCATGGTCGGATTGCCGGTGCCCCTGTTGCCCATGGCGCACCAGTACGTCAAGACGACGGCGGTTCCGTGCCAGCGTGGCCGGTATTCGTCCCCGAATGGCGCGGGTCTGCCCATCCTGCGGTATCAGGACCAAGATCTCTACTATAGAGAGCATGGCGATCAGTACGGAATTGGGTATTACGGGCACCGTCCTATGCCCGTGGTGGCCGCGACCCTAGGCCCGACTCCGGAGCATGTTGATGAGTACAAAATGCCCTCGCGACTCGACTTTACCCAGGAAGATTTTGACCCCGCGTGGAAGCTGTCGCGGGAGCTGCTCCCGGCGCTTCAACAAACCGAGATAGCAGACGGGTTCAACGGCATCTTCTCCTTCACCCCCGACGGAGGTCCCCTTGTGGGACAGTCGCCTACGGTAGACGGGTTTTACGTGGCCGAGGCGGTCTGGGTCACACATTCCGCCGGTGTAGCTCGTGCCTTGGCCGAGGTTCTCACGACGGGAAAGTCGCAGGTTGATTTGGCCGAATGCGACATTACGCGATTCGAGGAGGTCCAGCTCACTCCGCAGTTTGTCAGCGAGACGTCGCAGCAGAACTTTGTCGAGGTCTATGACATCCTACATCCTCTCCAGCCACGGGACTCGCCTCGTAATATGCGGGTGAGTCCGTTCTTCCATCGCCACAAGGAGCTCGGTGCCTTTTTCCTCGAGGCGGGAGCATGGGAGCGGCCGTATTGGTTCGAGGCAAACGAGCCGTTGCTCAAGGAGCTGCCCGCAGAGTGGCAACCGGTGGAACGGGATGCCTGGTCCGGCAGGTACTACTCCCCCATTGCGGCGGCAGAAGCGTGGAAAACGCGCACATCTGTCGCCATGTACGACATGACGCCCCTCCGGCGTCTGGAAGTGTCCGGCCCAGGAGCAGTCGGGCTGCTGGACTGGGCGACGACGGGAAACGTCTCCAGGAAACCGGGGGCAGTGACGTACACGCTGCTGCTAGATGAACAAGGCGGTATTCGCAGCGACATCACGGTCGCTAGAATCCGTGACGACTTATTCCAGGTTGGTGTCAATGGGCCCGTCGACCTGGCCTATCTGTCGAGGGAGGCTCGCATCCAGACCAAGAATGCGCCGGAAAAGGCCGTCCATGTTCGTGACATTACTGGTGCCACGTGCTGCATTGGGCTTTGGGGCCCCAAGGCCAGAGAGGTGATTTCTCAAGTCACGCCAGATGACTTCTCGGACAAGGGGCTCCGTTACTTCCGCGTCAAGAAGGCCAGCATTGCCGGAGTACCAGTCACTGCCATGCGGCTTTCGTACGTCGGCGAACTAGGATGGGAGCTGTATGCGAGTGCCGAGAACGGCCTCCGGCTGTGGGATGCGCTCTGGAAAGCCGGCCAGTCCTGTGGAATCATTGCGGCCGGTCGGAGCGCCTTTAATTCCCTGCGGCTGGAGAAGGGCTTCCGGTCGTGGGGTGCTGACATGACCACCGAGCACAACCCGTACGAGGCTGGCGTCGATTTTGCCGTCAAAATGGACAAGAAGGGGGCATTCATCGGCCAGTCCTCTCTCCGGGGGGTTTCAAAGGACACAATCACCAGAAAACTGCGTTGTATTACCGTCGACGATGGAAAGTCGATGGTATTGGGCAAGGAGCCGGTTTTCTTTGGTGGTAAATCAGAAGGCTATGTTACGAGTGCTGCTTTTGCCTTTACTATTGGCAAGCCCATTGCGTACGCGTATTTGCCCACCACCATACAGGAGGGGGATGCGGTTGAACTTGAGTATTTTGGAACAAGGATTCCCGCGACTGTGACGGCAGAACCACTCTACGACCCCGAAATGAAGCGACTGCGTGGATAGATTACTGCACGTTGATGGAGAAATAGATTACGACAAGTCATGGAATACGGGCATAGTTGGTAAATGATGGAGAAGGCACTTGATTTAATATAATACAGCCGGGGGCCATGATACATGTGTCACATGTTGGGGAGTGTAGCGAGTCGCGACGGTCCTCATCATTTTGTTGCTAGTTGCCTAAGCCTGCAATGTTGTTTGGAATGAGATTGACGAATTGCCGCTTACGTTTTATGCTACCCGTATCAGTATATCATTCAAGCGGGCATGTTGAAGACGGAACTTGCAGGATCCACGCGTACGTACGGGCTTCTAGCTCAATCCTGCTACCAGTCAAGTGTATCTGTTTCTGATGTAGCGATTCTGACAAAGTACATGTCAATCCGCCTGTACTGCAATGTAGACATTAGCAAACGACTCGTTCTACACATTCTCCGAATTGCTCTCACCGGCAGAAATCCGTCATGATAAATTGCTAATAATAAACCCGAATCGAACGACCCCTCATGCGGCATGCCCCGATGTCGCCGGCCGTTGCCCGATGGTCATGTAATTCACACCTGGCGCGCCCTTCAACTGGGTCGGGCAGACGCCGGCTGTGGAGTCGTATTCCCACCATTTACAAGACTCAGTCTTCTCTTGTCCCCGAATTACGTTTTGGTTTGTCACTGCACCAGGAAGCCAAGCCGGAGGGTGCAGGTCACGTGAGCGGCGGACCCGGCATCCAACCCCGAACCCCCGACGGTTGACAAACGAATTCCTACCTTGCCAGGCGACATCGGCCTCGGGGGGGAAAAGCCAATTCACTGATAAGGCACCTTCACAGTGTGCGGGACACGGCAACAAGATGGCATTCGGAGCTCCTCGCACTCTTGTACCCCAACAGTAGCCGTGGTGGGGGAGACGGGAACGGCAATACATATAAGGAACTCCCATCACCAGCCGCCAACCTCGCCTGTCCTCCTCGCTCGACCCAGCACCGAGCCGACTCGACAGCATGGCCCCTGCCGGTTCATCCTACATCATTGTCGGCGCGGGGGTTTTTGGAGTGTCGACCGCCTACCACCTGATTCGAAAGTACCCCTCGGCGTCGGTGACGCTCGTGGACCGCGATGCCTTTGACGCCGACAGCCGGGTCGCGGCGTCGTGGGACTGGAACAAGGTGATGCGCGCCGACTACGACGACCCCGTGTACTGCGAGCTGGCGCTCGAGGCGCAGGACGTCTTCACGTCGGATCCCCTGTGGCGGCCGTTCTTCCACCAGACGGGGCTCTACTGGATGTGCGGGCGCGACTACGCCCGCGACTGCATCCGCAACTTTGAGCGGCTCGGCCGCCACCACGACATCTCCGTCTGGCCCGTCGACGAGGCGCGCAACATGTTTGGCGGCCTGTTCAGCGAGTCCGACTACACCAACGTCGAGCAGGTGCTCGCCCGGGCCGGCGGCTGGGTCGCCGCCGGGGACTGCCTGCAGGCCGTCACCCGCAGGGTCCTGGAACTGGGCGTCGCCTACGTGGCCGACGAGGTGGCGGCGCTGCAGGTCGACCGGGCCGG